AAAAAAAAAAAAAAAAGAATAATTCAGTGGGGTTGGCTGGAGTTGCCTTGGGTCAAGCAGAATACTAATAGGCAGGGGAATGCACCTGTAGCTACTGGGCGCTACTGCCAGCCTGAAGAGGAAGTGGTTCGACTCTTGACCTTGGCTGGGGTTCCTGAGGATGAGTTAAACCCTTTCCATGTACTAGGCTTTGAGGCCACAGCATCAGACGCTGAACTGAAGAAGGCCTATAGACAGCTGGCAGTGATGGTTCATCCCGACAAAAATCATCACCCCCGGGCTGAGGAGGCCTTCAAGGTTTTTCGCGCAGTTTGGGACATTGTCAGCAATGCTGAAAAGCAGAAGGAATATGAGATGAAAGGAACGGCAAAGAATCAGCTGAGCCGGTCAGTAAACGAATTTCTGTCCAAGCTGCAAGATGACCTCAAGGAGGCAGTGAATACTTTGATGTGTGGCTGATGCCAAGGAAAGCATAGGAGGTTTGAGGTGGACCAGGAACCTAAGAGTGCCAGATACTATGCTGCGTGTGATAGGCTGCGTCCCGCTGAGGAAGGAGACTTTTGGGCAGAGTCAAGCTTGTTGGGCCTCAAGATCACCTACTTAGCACTGATGGATGGAAAGGTGTATGACAACACACAGTGGGCTGGAGGCCAGCGTCGTAGATATTTCCCCAGACCCACAGAGTCCCCTCACATCTCTCATTTGGTTCTCGGATTCCAGGCACCAGAGGGCGGCAGAGAGCCACCCCGGACACCCCTCCTGCTGATCTTCAGGATTTCTTGAGTCAGATCTTTCAAGTACACCGAGGGCAGACGCCCAGTGGGAACTTCTTTGCAGCTCCTCAGCCTGCCCCCGGAGCCACTGCAGCCTCTAAGCCCAACCGCACAGTACCCAAGGGAGAAACGAAACCGAAGCGGCGGACGAAAGTGAGGAGGCCCTTCCAACATTGAAGGCCCCTTCTCTTTCCTCAAAACAATGTCAGGGAGTGGAAAGGACTGTGTACAGCGCAGGATGGAGTTTGATTTCTCCCTCCTCCCCCAACACCTAGGAACTGAATCTTTTTTTTTTTTTTTTTTTTTGAGACAGAGTCTCGCTGTGTTGCCCAGCTGGGGTGCAGTGGTGTGATCTTGGTTTACTGCAACCTCTGTCTCCTGGGTTCAAGCAATTCTCCCATCTCGGCCTCCTGAGTAGCTGGGATTACAGGCACGCACCACCACACCTGGCTCAACGAATTCTTTTTTGGATTTTTAGTAGAGACGGGGTTTCACCATGTTGCCCAGGCTGGTCTCGAACTCCTGAGCTCAGGCGATCCACCCGTCCTGGCCTCCCAAAGTGCTGGATTACAGGCATGAGCCACCGCGCCGGACCTGAATCTTGTCTTTTGAAAATACCGAAGAAATAGGGGGTAGCTAGAGTAAAGAACCCAGGGCCTGGACGTGGGCTGGACAGTATATCCCTTTAGGTGTGGGAACTGGGTATTTCCCTGGGGTCTCTATGCCTTTGTCTTGCCATTTGCTTTTAAGGGCAGATGAGACTTTTTCCCACCCTTTTAAAGCCACAAGTCTATCTTCTTTCTTGACCCATCTCAGGAGGGAGCCCTCTCCTTTACCCTGATACAATATTTAAAAGACAGAACAAGAAAGCATGCAGCCCTAATGATAGGAGGTTACCTATGCGGTATGAGTTCAGAGTTCAGAGAATGGAAACGGAATTTTCCCTCGACTTTCACTTTGTGGGTAAATCACCCAATTTTAGGCTCTTTTCTGCAAGGATGGCCAAAATTAATCTTTTTTTTTTTTTTTTCCAGGAGAATGACTCAGTTTATTATCTCAATTTGACCCTATCTATACCACTTTAGGCTCAAACCCTGTACAGAGCTGCCATGCCTAACCTCATAACAATCGCGTCCCTGGAAGGTGAAGGGGGTAAACCACAAAGTCAGAAACATTGGGAAAAGCCACAGTCGCACGCACACCTCTCAAGGAAACAAACTACAAGAAAGGGCTCAGTCACTGTACACAGCAAGTGTGCAGTGGGCAAAGTTCTGTTCTTTTGACAGTAGCCAAATGCTTAAGTCCCTGGTTTCTTGGGATCAATCATGGCCCAAGGTTAGTAAGAAGGCCAACAATGTTGTGAACAGGATTCAATTTCTACAGGGTCATGGGGCATCATCCACCATGTGAAGGGGCTCCAGCAGGTTGGACATGATCAATACCCATCCAGATTAGGATCCTGATGCCCTTGCCAGAGCTCGGGCTCGGGCAGCTTTGGCCTCGTCTTCTAGCTCATCTAGGAAACGCTCCTGGGAAATTGAGTAGAAGGTGTAACCATAAATAGCTAACACCAGGGCCCCGATGCCTAGGCGGGTCACGATGTTCTGGGTCCGCCACTGCGGTAGGACCTTCTGCCACTGGGCAAGCTGCGCCCGCCACATGGAATACAGTTGCTCGGGTGTCAGCTTCTCCCGCGTTGGGTCGATACGCTGAGCGAAAGGGGCCTCTCCACACTTAGCATCCAGAGGGTCACCAGCTCCCGAAGCCGCCATGTTGCCGCTCCTCTCTTCGCGCTGCCCGATCATTTTTAAAAAGTAGATTCATGCCCACTGCCCTTGGGTGAGGGGGAAGGATACGGGGGTTCCCAGAAGCCCCCATGTGATCCAAGGGTTTGTATTTTTTTTAAGTTTGTTCATATTTGTATGTATATACCTATTTAAAGCCAGGGGATTATCTTTCTATAAATGTATAACTGGCAAAAAAAAAAGTCAAGAGCTGGCCGGGCGTGGTGGCTCATGCCTATAATCCCAGCACTTTGGGAGGCCGAGGCAGGCGGATCACAAGGTCAGGAGATCGAGACCATCCTAGCTAACACGGTGAAACCCTGTCTCTACTAAAAATACAAAAAATTATCCAGGCGTGGTGGCAGGCGCCTGTAATCCCAGCTACTCGGGAGGCTGAGGCAGGAGAATGGCATGAACCTGGGAGACGGAGCTTGCAGTGAGCTGAGATCGCGCCACTGCGCTCCAGCCTGGACAACACAGCGAGACTCCGTCTCAAAATAAAAAAATAGTCAAGAGCATTGTTGAGTCTCAAAATATCTAATCTTGCTTCATCTAGTAAATTTGCTTTTATTTTCTGTTGCTTCTAGACCAAGAGCAGTGATGACCTTTTAGCTGGAATGGCCGCAGGGGTAACAGTGACTAATGGTGTTAAAGGAAAGAAAAGCACCTGCCCATCTGTGGCATCTTCAGCATCTGCCCCTGCCATGACCACCGTGGAGAACAAATCCAAGATTAGCACAGGTATGGGTGACACTCAGTCTGAGACTTCAACTGCGTTTTTGTTGGAATAGGCAGGATGCATTGGTGTTTACAGTGTTCCATCTCATTACAGGAAATTTTCGACATACAAAAGTAGATGGATTGATATTTCAGCCCAATACGCTCATCACACTCATCACCATTATCAACTCACAGCCAGTTGTAACTCCCTGATACCCACCCTCCCCTCTTATTATTCTGAAGCAGATTCCAGACATCATATCATTTCATCCATAAATATTTTATCTTGGAAAGAGGATTCTCCTTTTTTTTTTTTTTTTTTGAGATAGAGTCTCGCTCTGTCGCCCAGGCTGGAGTGCAGTGGCGTGATCTCGGCTCACTGCAAGCTCTGCCTCCCGTGTTCACGCCATTCGAGAAAGATTCTTTTAAAAATATAATCATAATACCATTATCAGTCCTTAAAATAATTGATAATCATTCCTTAAATCATACCTTATTCAATGAGTATTTAAATTTCCAACAATCTTATAAATATTTCTGTTTTGTTTACTGTCTATTTTTATGTTTGGATCAGGACTCACATAAGTCCATATATAATTGGCTGATGCGTCTCTTAAATCTTTTTTAAATCTATAGGTTTAACCTGATTCTTGCAGTTTAATTTTTGTGGAAGCTGGTCATATGACCTATAGAGTTTCTGAGAATCTGGATTTTTATATCACAATATCACCATTATGTTTTTGCCCAACACCCTTTATTGTCTCTACTTATTGTATATGGCATTGGAGTCTTATGGGACAGATTCAGGTCCCCTGTCCCCCCATTTGGAAAAAAAAACAACCAAAACACCATGTTGGCTAGGCTGGTGTCGAACTTCTGACCTCAGGTGATCTCCCTGCCTCGGCCTCCCAAAGTGCTGGGATTACAGGCACGAGCTATCGCATCATTTAAATGTACTGAGAGGCTGGGCGCGGTGGTTCAGAGCTGTAATCCTAGTACTTTGAGAGGACGAGGCAGGCAGATCACCTGAGGTCAGGAGTTCAAGACCAGCCTGGCCAACATGGTGAAACTTTGTCTCTACCAAAAAAAAAAGAAAGAAAGAAAGAAAAAATTAGCCCTGTGTGGTGGCGTGCGGCTCTGGTCCCAGTTACTCGAGAGGCTGAGGCATGAGAATCGTTTGAACCCCGGAGGCATAGGCTGCAGTGAGTTGAGATGGCACCACTGCACTCCAGCCTGGGCGACAGAGCAAGACCCTGTCTCTAAATAAACGTTGCCGGTAATCCCAGCACTTTGCGAGGCCGAGGCGGGTGGATCACCCAAGGTCAGGAGTTCGAGACCAGCCTGACTACTATGACAAAACCCTGTCTCTACTAAATATACAAAAATTAACTGGGCATTGTGGCATGTGCCTGGTCCCAGCTACTCAAGAGGCTGAGACAGGAGAATTGCTTGAACCAGGAGGCGGAGGGTGCAGTGAGCTAAGATTGAGCCACTGCACTTCAGCCTGGGCGACAGAGTGAGACTCCATCTCAAAAAAATTACATTAAAAAAATAAAAATAAATAAATGTAGTAAGATTGCAGAGTTGTGCAGTGGAAGCGTGCTGGTTCTATCCATGTAGTGAAGGCAGATTTCATCCACAAATCTCACAAGAACTTTTAGCCCCAGTTGCCTTCCAAAGAAGCAGTACATGGACTGACGCATGGGCTGTCCCAAACAGCTGTGGAAAGAAAAACAGAAAATAGAAAATGACACGCTCAGCCCTTGAGGCCAAAATGCCCTTCCCCAGAGCAGCTGCCAGAAGACAGGGAGCAGGATTGGGTTGGGGGTCACTTCTGGGTGAGGGGAGAACGGTCAGACCCGGGGCAGGGGTGTTGGAGCCTGGTCGGCCTCACTGGAACAGAAGAGAGCTGCTTCGTGATGCTCAGCTGACTGGCAGAGCCTTGCATAACCCAAATTCTCACGGTACAGAGAGGCCAGCCAGTGCGGGGACAAAGACAGGCATGCACAGAAATGGTTTCCTGGAAGACAGCCCAGTTGCATCTCTCAAATGGGACCAGATCGGAAGGGAGACCAGCTGCTTTGGGCAACTGAGGTTGCTTCTGGGCGAGCTCCCAAACTAGATGGTGCCGAGGGCCCTGGACCTGGCAGCTGGACTGGACATCACATGACCCTGTCTTCCAGGAAACGGCATCTTAGCCCTTGTCTGGCCAGTTCTCCAAAAGAACCATCCACAGGCCATTTCTCCATTCCCCTCCTATGCACAGACTGGGCGGGGCCTGACCAGAAACTCTCCCTTAGGGTTTTGAGTCACTGCCAAAACTTGAGCCCAGCGGTGAGGATGTGATGTTAACATGTGACTCTGGGTCAGGCGGTGGCTCGTGCTTGTCCACCCAGTGCTTTTGGGAGGCTGAGCTGGGAGAATCACTTGAGGTCAGTAGTTCAAGACCAACCTGAGGAACATAGATCTCTACAAAAAAATTAAAATAAAAATTAGCCAGCTCTGGTGACATGCATCTGTAGTCCCAGCTACTCGAAAGGCTGAAGTGGCTTAAGCCCATGAGTTCAAAGCTACAGCTATGCTGGTGTCACTGCACTCCAGCATGAAAAGCAGAGTGACACCATGTCTTGAAAAAAGGAACAAACTAGGCATAGAAGAAACATACCTGAAAATGGCCAGGCCCAGTGGCTCACGCGTGTAGTCCCAGCACTTTGGGAGGCTGGGGTGGGTGGATCACCTGAGGTCAGGAGTTCGAGACCAGCGTGGCCAACATGGTGAAACCCCATCTCTACCAAAAGTACAAAAATTAGCTGGGCGGGGTGGCAAGCGCCTCCCAGCTACTCGGGAGGCTGAGGCAGGAGAATCGCTTGAACCTGGGAGGTGGAGGTTGCTGTGAGCCAAGGTTGCACCATTGCACTACAGCCTGGGTGACACGAGCCAGAATCCGTCTATTTAAAAAAAAAAAAAAAAAAACCTAGAAATAATAAAAGCTGTATATGACAAAGCCATAGCTAACCTACTACAGGATGGGGAAAAGTTAAAAGCATTTCCTGTGTAAACAGTAACAAAAGGAGGATGCCCGTTCTCACCACTTTTATTCGAAATCACACAATCACGCAGGAGAGAAAAATAAAAGCCACCCACATTGGAAAAGAGGACATCAAATTATCCTTGTCTGATGAAGATGTGATCTTGGATTTAGAAACATGTAAAGGCTCCACCAGAAAACTCTAGACTTGATAAATAAATTAATACACTCATTTGCAGGATACAAAATCAACATACAAAAATCAGCAGCATTTTATACACCAATAATGGTCCAGTTGGGAAAGAAATTAAGAAGGCAATCCCATGTACAACAGCAACAAAATGAAAATGATACGCCGCAGAAAAAGTTTTACCAAGGAGGTGAAAGATTTCTACAAGGAAAACTAGAAAACACTGATGAAAATGTTTAAGAGGAGAGAAAGAAATGGACAATCATTTCATGCCCACAGAAGGAATTCATAGCATTAAAATGACCACACTGCCCAAAGCAGTCTAGAGATTCAATACAACCCCTACCAAAATACCAACATCATCACTCACAGAACTGGAAAATCATAAAACTCATATGAAACCAAAAAAGAGCTCAAAGAACCAAAGTCATCCTCACCAAAAACAACAAAACTAAAGGCATCCCATTTCACTGCAAATTAGAATGACAAAATTTTTGACAAGTGCGTGCTAACCAAAACAGCATGGTCCTAGCATAAAACTAGACACACAGATCAATGGCACAGATAAGACAGCCCAGAAAGACAGACACGTAGTCTTGGGACTTGTGTCTCTCCTGCTGTACATCCATGCTGGGTGCTTTATGTACAACAGGCAGACGAGAAGTCCCTGTTGCAAGTGAGGACAAAGTGTGGGAAGGCCGTGAGGGTCTGCAGTCACAGAGGGCCTTAGCCTCATCCCACAGTGCACTGTTGCACCGGAGTGCCACCTCCTTCTCGAGGTCCAGGTTTTCAACAGTGACCCGGACCCCAGCTGTAAGGCAGGTGGCAGCATCAGAGGCTCCCCTTGCCTGAGCAGCAGCAGGGGAAACTTGTGTCTACGGGGCCTAGAGGCCTGGGATGTCGGGGAGCCATTCCTGGGGGCAAGTGTCTGCCCTGGTGCTGCATCTGCTACCTTTTCACACTGGGCGAGACCCCAAGAGACAGCCTGAGGCCGGTCCTCACTCACCGTCTTTGAGGACTTGAGGGGCAGCCAACAGTGGGATGAGGCTGGCCCTCTCCTCCTCTTTAGTGACAGGAAGCCTTCTGGGGAGCTGTAGGAGCTCAAGATGGCATTTCGTTTGGGGCATGAGCTCATCCAGGAGGACTGAGATCTCTGGGTATATCCCAGACTTTTTTTTTTTTTTTTTTTTTTTTTTTGAGATGGAGTCTCGCTCTGCCGCCCAGGCTGGAGTGCAGTGGCCAGATCTCAGCTCACTGCAAGCTCCGCCTCCCGGGTTCACGCCATTCTCTTGCCTCAGCCTCCTGAGTAACTGGGACTACAGGCGCCCGCCACCTCGCCCGGCTAGTTTTTTGTATTTTTTAGTAGAGACGGGGTTTCACCGTGTTAGCCAGGATGGTCTCGATCTCCTGACCTCGTGATCCACCCGTCTCGGCGTCCCAAAGTGCTGGGATTACAGGCTTGAGCCACCGCGCCCGGCCTATCCCAGACTTCTGACATCTGGGCATGGAGGTCTCTCTGCAGAGGTCCAGGCCTGGGCACGAAGGGAGGGAGGCCTCCATCGTCCCGCAGGGGCCTAAATGCAGACCGTGCATCCCCGGTGCTCTCGGGAACCCTTCTCTGATCATCACTCTCTTGGACCCTGGGGTCCTTGTCCTGCTCAGGCATCCCTGCCCCCTTCTCCTTGAGGGCCTTCAACATGATCTTCTCTGGACACGAGTCTGGAGCACAGCCGGGTGTTGTGGGCCCCAAAAGGGTGACTCCCTGCTCCTGGGACCCACAGAGAGTCCTTGTGCTCAGTGCACTGGCTGAGCTGCAGGACACCCTGGAATTGGGAGCACAAAGCGCTGGCTTGCTGTGGTACCTGTGCATTCAAATTGAAGGCAGGATGGCCAGCAAGGAACACAGGGCTTGCAGGATCACAGAAAAACCCTTGGAGTTGTCATGGCACACCACTGATGCCAAGTGTCTGGGTACTTGTAGGATGGCCTTTCACTCCGTCCAGGGGCAGTGGCAACAGGGAGATCCCACACGCAAAGTGAACTGGGGGATGGGGTGAGCGGGCTCCAGGCAACTGAGCCCTACTGGCAGGTCCTCGGCCCCCAGGACAGGAGAGGGGTGACAGGCAGGGGTGACAGGCAGAGAGTGCCCAGGTAACCACTCCTGGGAGCAGTGGGGAACAGTGGGATGCTTCAACTCTCGAGAGCTGGGCTCTGAGCATCTGCCTTAGCTGCCAACTCAGCCAAAGGCTACATGAGCAGTTTCCCCCGTTGACGAGCAATGCATCTTTCCAACCTGAGCAAGTGGGTACGCGTGCAAAGACGGTGCGAGTCACAGATCTTCGTAGGAAGGGAGACCTTAAGGGACTGGCGCGGCCAGGGATGCACACAAGGCATCTGCTGGCAACGCCTTGGTGGGGGTGGGTGGTGCACACAATAGGTACTGGAGGGAGAGGCACGTGGGAAGAACAGGCATGCACAATGGCTCCAGATCCTCCTGTGGATGGCTGAAGATTCCTGCTCTCCTGCTGAGGCTTGAGGCTGCTAGGCTGGAGGACTGTATGGTCCAGGCATTGTAGTGTCCCCTTCTCTCCCTGGCCCGGAGCCCCAAGAGCTATCCGGACTTTGTCCAAGGCCTGGTTCTGGCCCAGCAAATAGGTCACTGCAGGGAAGCTGGATTCCCGGCCCAGCAGCTGGCACAGGAGGTGACAGCTTTGGGATTCACATCTGAGTGTCCTCCTGCCCTTCTCCTAGGAATCTGGAGTGGAGAGTTGCTCAGAACAGAAGTGCCTGGGACACCCAGATCCTGCTGGAGTGGCAGCTGGAGTGATGGCCAGGGCAGGCTGGGAGGGACATACTTTCCACAGGACCCAGTGCTTTCATCTCTGTGCAATTGACCAAGAGAAACCAAAACCAAACTCCTTCTTTTACACAGACCTATTTGAGGGAGGCCGGGTATTCTTTGTGTATTTCAACCTAACAAGATTATGAGATAGTCGGAATGCAGAAGGAGACAGGAGGACTCAAGTGTCCTCTCTTTTGCAAAAATGTCACATGAAGCCACTCGGTCTCTTTTTGGTTTTTTTGTTTGTTTTGAAGACTATTGTAATTTTGCAAAATATATGTTATTTGAGGATCAGTGTGCTATTTTTAGATAAATTAATATACTTTTTTTCAGCAGCACATGAAACATTCTTCAAAACAGATCCTTTGTTAGTCCACAAAAGCTGTCCCTACAAATTTTAAGAAATCACAATCATAGCATTCCGATTATCAGACAACAGAGGAATAAAACTAGAAATGGATATCAAGGCAAACTACAGAACCTATACACATATATGAAAATTAAACCCCACCCTCCTGAATGACCACTGGTTCAATGAAAAAATTAAAATGAAAATCCGAAAATGTTTTCAAACAAATGAAAATGGAAACACCATATACCAAAAGCTTTTGGATTCAGCAAAATCAGTGCTGTGAGGGAAGTGTGTAGCAGTAAATGCCTACATCCAAAAAGTAGAAAGATGACACATTAATAAACTGATGATGCACCTTAAAGATCTAGAAAAGCAAGAACAAAGCAAAACCAAAATCAGCCCATGAAAAAAATAATAAAGATCAGAGGAGAACTAAATAAAATAGAGTCTCAAAAACAACACAGAAATCAGGAAAAGCAATTACTGGTTCTTAGTGAGAAAAACACACTTTGGGTATTTCCTTTTTTTTTTTTT